GCGCAGGCGTTTGGGGTCCGGCCGACGGCCGCGAGGGGGTGGAGAGGCGAGCCGGAGCGCGGGGCCACGGCCGCCCTGCCCACTGCGTCCGGCCACCGAAACGCCTGCATCCGCGAGCGCGCCCAGGCCAGCGCGCGAGCGAGTGCGCGCGGGCGGGGGCGCGCAGGCCCTGCCCGCCCCTTCCGCCCCCACCCCCCTCCGCCCCTTCCTCTCGCCACCTTTCTCTCCACTTCTGCGACCCCGCGCCGGGCGCTCACCCTGTCCTCTTCGGGAGCGCTGTCCGCTGCGGCGGCCGGAGCGGGCCAGGCCGGGGGATGGCGCTGCTGGACCTGGCCCTGGAGGGAATGGCCGTCTTCGGGTTCGTCCTCTTCTTGGTGCTGTGGCTGATGCATTTCATGGCCATCATCTACACGTGAGTGAGGGGCAGCTGGAGGAGCCCGTGGCGGGGGTCGAGGCCTGGGGACAGGCGAGGGTGGGAGGAATTTCGCTTTGGAGGGGATTGGGATCGGATGGGGGTGGAGAAAGCTAATTCTCAGGCTCTTCCTCCCATTCCCTCTCCCTGTGCATCAGCTGGGGCGGGGGGTTCATTGGAAGAGAAAAGTGGCGAGTGAGGGGATGGCTGGGCTTCAGGCGACTGCACAGCCAGGGGAAAGGAGACTATGCTCTTTTTACGTGTCAGGCGGAAGGCTGCTTGCTTGGTTTGATTGTGTTGGGGATTCGTGTGATTTTTCATCTGGGCCAAGATGTATGGTGTATTGTGTTTTGTTTTGTTTTTTTTTCCCTTGACCTGGGCCACGTTTCTATTATGGTGATGATCGTTTCCACCCTTCGGTGAGCTGCACACAGCCACCTGGAGACCTCCCTGTGGATTTTCTTCTTCCTGGAAGATCTCTGTGTCCTTAGATAGGTGTGAAGCACCTGTCCACCTTGAAAACTGTCCACCAAATGTCTGAGCTGGCGTTGTAGCCTTGAGTCATGTCAGCTTGTACATTTCAGTGTGGTTTTCTTTCCTTTTTTTTTCCCCCCAATTCCTTATTTATTATCTTGTTTAGATGTGCCCCCGCCAACCTTTTCATTAGATGCCTTTCACTGGGGACACAGTGGCGAGCACGACAGAATTCCTGTCCTCAAAGATCTTACATTCCAGAAGGGAGAGACAGATATTAAAATTCCGAATAAGGTTATTTCAGATAGTGATAAAGACTATGAATAAAATAAACCCGGGTAATGGATGAATATGACATAGAGTGTGTAGCTACTTTTGATATTTCCATTGTTCAAATGTCTTTAAAATGAAGGAAGCCTTCATGAGGATATGAAAGAATTGGCATAGAGCGCATTACTCTTGGATTCACTGGATTTTTAGCTCCCCCAAAAGATGATGGTGCATAGTGATCTTTACCACCCATTAGAATAGGGTATATGTTAGTAGAAGAGAGGGGAGAACTTTAAGAAATTAATTACTTATAGTTTTTTTTCCTTTTCACTACAGAAAAAGTGTGCTTTTTCCTTTTGGAAATGCTGCATTTTATTAGTATAGTGTGGCATTTCCTGGTACTGGAGAAAGATGCTACATTGTTCAAGGCATACTGATATTTCTTTGAAGATTAAAGAAAAATGCTTCTTGGACACTGTTGATCTTAGGTTTTGGAGTTTGTGAGCTGTAGGCACTGAACATTCTGGAGTTCATGTTAGATATATGAGTTCTTAAAAAACATTTTTGTCACTTTTTCCAATCATAAAAATAAAACATGCTTACTATGTAGAGCATTTAGACAGTACAGAGAGGAAGAAAGAAGAAAGTTCAACACACACACCAAAACTCCATTACCTGTCAACCTTTTGTGACTACCCTTCCAATTATATTTCTGTGGGGAGAGGGAAGGGAAGGGAGGGAGGTAAGGAGGGAGAAAGAAAGGGACCATATTATGGTGGTTCTTTCACCAGCCTCAAAATTCATCTATTTAATAAATACTTTCTGGGAAGCTCTTTTGTATATACAAGGCACTGTTCTAGGTGCTGGAAATAAGATTGAAGAACAATACATGCAGGGCCCCTGCTCACATGGAGCATCCATGTAAAATGTCTTGAGTAATTTTCTCATGTCAGTAAATGTATGAGGGACTTCCCTGGTGGCAGAGTAAAGAATCAGCCTGCCAATGCAGGGGACATGGATTCGAGCCCTGGTCGGGGAAGATCCCACATGCCGTAGAGCAACTAAGCCCATGTGCCACAACTACTGAGCTTGCGCTCTAGACCCCGTGAGCCACAACTACTGAGCCTGCGTGCTACAACTACTGAAGCTCACGCACCTATAGCCTGTGCTCCGCAACAAGCCACCTCAGTGAGAAGCCCATGCACTGCAACAAAGACCAACGCAGCCAAAAAATAAATAATTTTAAAAAATAAAATAAATTTATGATCTCTCCATCATTTTTAATAGATGCGTAACAATTTTGTTTATGAGGTACTAATATGTATTCATTGTTATTATTGATGGGCATTTAGTTTATTTTCAATTTGTCAAGATTACAAACAACATGGTGATGAATTCATATGCTTACATCTTTGAGAGATGATCTCCTTAGTTTACATTCTGAAAGAGGAATTATTGGGCCAGAAGTGGTGCACATTTTAAACTTTGTTACATATTGCCCTGTAGGAAGGTTGTATCTATTCATAGTCCTTGTAACATTGTTTGATGGTCCCCATTTTCCCTTACTAAGTATCAGGCTTTTTACTGTTTTCTGTTTTTTATTTTCATTTCTTTAATTACTAGTTCCATTGAATGTTTTTCATATATTTAATACTAGTTACATTTAGTTGTAAATTTCATACTCTATCTTTTGCCTGTGCTGCAATGTATTGCTGTGTTAATCTTTTTAATAGGAAGATTGTTCTTCTGTGATATGTTGCAGTTTTTGCCCACCTTGTTTTTTGTTTTGTTTTGTTTTGTTTTGTTTTTGTTTTTGTTTTGTCTTTCAACTTTGTACATGTATTTAACATGGAGAAAAAGTGTGTACCTGTGTGTTTTAGGTAGTCAAGTCTTTTTCTTTTTTTCCTGACTGGTAAAATTTTTTATCTTCTCCATTTCCCCCAACTATTATATAGTAAGTATGTTTTTCTTTTAGTATTTTGAGTTTTCTTAGATTCTTTTTTTACACTTTACCCTTACAAAGTGTACCAGTATCCACTGTTTTAATGAAAGAAGTATTATTACCTTTATTACCATATTACTGGCGAGGCCAGCCCCTCCTTATTCTTCTGCAAATTTTTTAACTTTTTATACATTTTTATTTAAAAATGAACTTTAGAACCTTTTTTTTTTTCAGACTCTAAGTAATCTTGTATTTAAATTGGAATTGTTAAATTCACAGCTTGATTTGAAGAAAGTTGACTTCTTTCAACATAGGACCATGATGGGTCCCCTTCCCTCTATGATGTATACATAATGATAAAGTCACACTTCTTTCACACTGGTGATGTCACTTCATACTTCAAATAAGCATCTGGGGAAGTTTATGTTCTTAGACGGTGACAACTCCAGAATAGTTTTAAGTTATTTTGTGCTTCATGATAAACTGCAGAATTTTCTTAAATACTTTTTTACTTAAAATACTTCTAGTTTTTGAGACTAGTACAAACTTTAGCTTAGTTAAGATACTGTAAAGAGTCTTTGTATTGGTCTTCCAATGCCCCATAAAGTTACCTTTCATATTGACAGTAACAGGATTCAGAAAAGTTATGTGAAAATAGAATAGAGAAAATGCAGTTAGTTTATAACAGATGAGTAGGAATCTTCTATCTTTCTGAAATGGATAACTGAACATAAAGTGAATAATCAACAGCTTAATTTATGTATAAATTAAATCTTTCCTTTTTAAAAATTAAGTTCCTTTCATCTCATCCCACCATCAAAATTATTTACATGTTTGATTTGATTCCTTTCTTATTGAAGTAAAGATACTTCCCAATTTAACGAATTGTTTTCAAGCAGAGCCCTAAGGTTTTGTCCTCTCCTTCTCTCTTCTGTATTCAGTAAAATTGCAAATTTGATAATCTCCACATTTTGACAAGCAAGGTTAAAGAACATTGGCAATGATATTTTGGTTAAATATTGTGCTAAGCGTTCTGTATTTTATTGAAGAATATATTTTCTGAACAGGTGTTCTTTGTCCTCTCAAATCCTTTTTAAGTGAGGTAAAGTAAAATAAAATAATCATATATTGGTCCTTTCCTAAAACCTTGTGCCTGCAACTGGTGGAAATGGAGCCTATTTTCAAAACCTTATATGGCTCCATATCTGGTCATCAGATTAAGGAGCATAATCTGTGAGCTGCTAATGTTTAAAAATGTTTAAGTAATACAAACATTGTAGTGAAATTGCTGAGAAAAATGGTAAAACATTCTTTTTTAAAACCAGTGGTTATTTTTTAAAAATTAAATACAGTGTGTAATGGTATCTAGTTAATTTAGATTCAGTGTTCTATTGTATCGTAACTTCTTAAAATGAGATAAAGAGCTAAGTATCGGACTGTGTTTTAAAAATGGAGCTGAATGTGATGAATACAGTGAACAATTGTTGTTCAATGAAATTTTTTGCTCCAATTTCATAAATATCTTACAATTCCTATATGCCTACAATTTAAAAAATTGAGGTGATTTATAAACTATAGAGAACCATTATTTTCAATATTTTCTGCTCACTGGTATCTCTACCTACTGCTTTCCTCCTTTCCAGATTTAGTATCAACTGATGCCTAATTATTTCATAACATATTTTAGATGGCAGACATTTGTGGGATTTTGCCTATAATGTCTCCCCCTCGCCCCCCCCATGGCTTGCGGGATCTTAGTTCCCTGACCAGGGATTGAACCCCGGGCCCGTGGTAGCGAAAGCGCCGACTCCTAACCACTGGACCTCCAGGGAATTCCCCTATAATGTTAAAGATAACATTCAGATTAGAGCATTTGAAATTCAGGGCTCTTATTTTGAAGATTATTTTTTTCCTAAAACGAAACAAAACAAAAAACAACAACAAAATAAACACTAATGATTATATCCTCTGTAGGCAGAGTTGGTTAAGTGATCTTTATCGATTTTTTTCCTTTTTTGAGAGCTAGTGTGGTTTGATAGCTTGGGGGCTGCTGTTTTCTTCCCTGTTTAGCCGTTAGGAGCCATACTGCTAGATAAGAGTATCTAAGCAAGACACCTTGCTTTTTTCTCCTCTCACTCCCCCATCCCTCTCCCTCCTTGGATTTATCATTCTTTCCCCTCTACACATGGTATCCTAATGTTTAGTGATAGGCTTTATCTTTTCTATTAATTGACTGGAGGTGCCAGGGTATGGTGGAAATACTTCTTGTATCCATAAATATTAACTGCCCTCTACTAAAGCAGAGGTCCTTTTC